ATAGAACTCATGCGGAAGTGGCTTTAGCTTCCTATTGCTGTGCTTTAACCCACTATGCCACCAGGAGGGCCTTTTTTTTTTTTTTTTTTTTTTTTTTAAGTTTAACTGAACTTAATAGTTGACTAAAATATACTTAAAATGCTGAAGTAAAATGCTGATTTCACATGCACACACACACAACTTGTATGAAATATAATACCAAGAATATCCAAAAAGGGGACATTTCTGCTATTCAAACATTTGTTTGCTTAATAGATTATTTATTATGTAAGACCTTAGAAAATGACATGGTGAGGAAACCACCGTGTGGGCACCCAGTGATTTTCAGCAGGTTAACGAAGCCCTCAGCCCTCTTGATACATAGTCTGTAACAAAAGAGATAATACTCTGAACTTTGCTATATCCTGAAATGTGGAATAGCTTAGTGTGGGGTTATCATTCCTGTCCATCCTGTAAACCTTTTAGGGTAGGGAAAGTTTAAAAGATTATGTTGTTTGAGGAGGTTATCTTTTTCTAAACTTGAGAGAAGCACTTGCTTTAGATTTAAGAGTTGGCTAGCCCAAATTATTGTTTAGTTATCTTTTTATTACAGCCTGTTTTCTGGCTTTTGGGTTAACTTCTGAGGTGGGGTTGGGTGAGAGCTGTCTGGAGAGCAGGCTGGTACTTTCTGACTACAACAGCAACCCTGTTCTTTAGTATACTTTCTTTTTTGATCTTTTCTAAAGGGTTGCCCTTATTTTGCCCTTGGGATTAAGTGAGTAACTTTCCACAGGAAGTGTTTTGTGTACAGAACTGACCTTCTGCCTTCCGCTTCATGGGTACTTGTCAAACATGCCTGGATCAAGGAGCAGTGATTTGCAAAATTCTATTGACTATCTATAAAATTAAAATGCCTTAGGCTTTTGGGGAAGTTGTTTTGAGAAAATACATATTTCATAAAGCTTTTATTTCAACAGACTCTCAGAAGGTTAAATAGTGTAATAGAGAGAACATTTCAGTAATGTTTTTAGTGAGGCAGAACTGGAATTTAAAAACTGGATCATTATTTTCATGACTGATTTATGGCATTTAGTACTAGTACTGGCTGAGGCATTCGTTTTAACGATTTTAGTATTTTCTTAATTTGTTAGGTGTGGCATAATCTTTGAATCTGACTTGCCAAAATCTCTTTTTGTAGGTGGTCTGCTCTGTGAATGAGTAATTCCCGAAGAATGAAGAAGATTCAATAATTTCAGGAGTTCTTTGATGAACTTTAACAAATGATAGAAATTATTTATAATTTATCAAAAAAAATATATATCCCTGGTCAAAAAATCTTCAAGTGTGTTTGTTTCTTTCTGCATTCCTCATGTTCTCACATGACATTAATGTTTTGCTTTTCTTAAAGGGTATAATGTAAACTTAAACATGTACGTTCTTTTTTTGAAGATTTATTTATTTACGCATACAGAACTGGGGTACAGGCCAGAGGCTCAGGGGTGGCGAGAGGCTTCACCAGAGACAGAGCGGGGAGCAGAACAGGCAGATCGACAAAGTACACTGCTGAGGGGAGCAGCGGGAGGGTCAGGAGAGGTCTGCCACGCCATGTGGTCACCTCCGTGGCAGGCAGGAATCGAACTCATGCAGAAGTGGCTTCAGTTTCTTAGTGCTATGCTTTAACCTGCTACACCACAAGGGAGGGCCAACATGTAAGTTTCTTATGCCGTTTTAGGGACTCTGAATATCTGTTGTAAGAAAAAAGCAGATAATGGTCTCATCCAATGAAATGAATCTCCCAACATTTAGGAATGTAAAAGTGAGAAAATAACCCTTTACCAATTTAGAATGAGTGTAGTAGCCATGTCGTTTCATTCAAGCTTTTAACTACCTTAATTTAAAGACAAGAACTGGATAATCCTTCTCTATTTGTATTTTAAATCAATACATTTGTTCTTTATTAGTTGTGACTTTTGGGGAAGTAGTTTGTTTAGAGTTTGGACCACTTTAGGGCCTCAAAGTTTTTAGCATGATTAATAAGTGTATAGCTAGTTTCGTTTTAGAGTTGACTGCAATCATAAACTCATTGCTTACGCCCAGATAGTTATCGCTCATTAGAAGCTGGCTATGGTCATAGACTGGATTAGTACAAGTAAATTAATGCAATAGCTTAACACTATGCCATAGTGATACCAGAATGTGTGGTTCACTTACTATAGCGACCCTGTGATCCGATTAACTGATTTGTGGGCAAATTGTATTCTGTGTATCAATCTAAACAACAAAAAGACTGAGGCATAAATAAGAGATATGTAGCATTCATGTGTGATGGGAAAATTGCTCCTTTTTAAAGGTAGAGCCATGAAATATGACAGTCATAGGTTTAAAAATTGGCTGTGTGACCTCAAGCAAGTTACAACCTTATGGGCATGTTTTCTCATATGAAAGAACAAGAGACTCAGGGAAAATAGAATTACAACTTAAAGACTGAGTACTAATTAAAATAGTATATATAAAGCATTGGCCACCGTCAGTAGCACTTACTATTATTCTCAATTCTTTGATACTAGATTTATATTTTTATTTTGATATGCTACTTTAACTTTAGTATGCACTTAGTAGTTTTCAGAATATTCTTCTAGATGAAGAATGGAATCTTTGGATATGAACCAACTTCTACCCAGAACAAATCCATGGTAACTAGTTATGCAAATTCTGCTTGAAAATATCCTGGGACTACAAAAGAAAATTAAAATACATTGTTTTATGACCCATTTGTTATATGTGCTTCCAACTTAGGCATCTGCATATTTTTCAAAACAAAAAATGAGATCATTTTTCTATGTTACATATTTTTAATGAGATTATAATATTGATTGCCTTTTCCCCTTATGTTTTACCATCCATGAGTATAGTTCTATAGTTCTGTTGGCTATATATAAACTCATTCTGGGGGTTACCATAAAATTTAACCAGATCTTTATTGTACAGTCATTAAACAAATTATAGTCATTACAGTCTTTCATTAAAGTCATTATAGACTGCCTGCTGTTTTCAGCAGTATAGGAATTTGACACAAGCTATGCAACTTCTATCCACTGACAAATTCCAGATAGAAAAGGAAAAGCTCTGAAAAATTAGAATTTCCATGCTAGCTCATGTTATGACCCCCTTTTTTGTATATCAAAATATTTTGAGCAATCATCAGCTGGCAACCAGATTACCTTAGCCTCATAAGGTGCTACCTGGCCCAGGCAAGCAAGCGCTGCCCCAGGGTGGGAAATTTTTCTTAAGTCAAAAATATTACAATGGGCTGATTAATAAAAGCAGTTGGCTGTTATAGCAAAATCAATACTGTAAAATAAGACAGTACTAAAACATGCTAAAAATTAGGAGTTCTTTTATTGCCCAGAGGAGAATCCAAATCTTATCTTTCTAATAGCTTACTTAAGCTTTGTATTGCTTAGTCTTTAAATGAATCTTACTATCTCCTTTAGTGATTTACCTACAAGAAAACTCCACCCTAATCCTTGACTTGACTTGACCATCTTTAACAGCTTCACCTTGGCCTGAGACCTCACTTTATCCTCTTTCACATCTCCAACCCAACCTCCACCCTAGCCCTGGATTTGACTTTACCCTCCAAGATGTCTCCATGAGAATGAAGATCATTATGTAGCATTTAAGGTTTAAAGGGACTTTATTTTAGCCAGTCATCATTGTGATAAATATAATGTTAGCCTTAAATTTTATGAATTTATGTAACTATCTTAATTTTAATACATCGATTTTAAGAATAATAAATGTTGTATCTCAGCTGAAGGTCAGTACAACCCCAAACTTTTTTTTTTCCTTTACATACATGGCTTTCTTTTTTTACCTTTGTCAGATTTTTTTTAATAATATAATATTTATTTTTACATCATTTTGTACATTTTTTTAAATCTCAATTGTAATCCTCATGGGTTTCACATCACTGAGTCACAGTGTGCCATCACCATAGTACCATGCACTTCCCCCCACTGCCCCCCGCATTTTTTATCCCATTCCCCACTCCACCCCCACAAAATGTCTCTGCTATATGGCTGTTCATTATTATTATTTTCTCGCCTGGTCCATTATACTCCTGCTATGAGCAAAATCATCCGGTATTTTTCTTTCTCTTTCTGGCTTATCTCACTAAGCATGATCTTTTCCAGCTCCATCCAGGTTGCTGCAAAAGACATGTGTTTCTCTTTTTTGGTTGCTGAGTAATATTCCATTGTATATATATGTATCACATCTTTTTTATCCAGTCATCTACTTTTGGGCATTTGGGCTGCTTCCATGTTTTTCCAATTGTAAATAAAGCAGCAATAAACATGGGGCTGCAGGTATCTTTTTCAATCAGTGTTTTTGTGTCTTTTGGGTAGATAACTAGGAGTGGGATTGCTGGGTTGTAGGAAAGCTCCATGTTAAGCAGTTTGAGGAACCTCCAACAGTTTTCATAGTGGTTATGCTAGTTTGCATTCCCACCAGCAGTGCAGGAGAGTTCCTTTTTCTCCACATCCTCGCCAACATGTGTTGTTGCTAGTTGTTTGAAGATGTGACATTCTCACTGGGGTGAGGTGGTATCTCATTGTGGTTTTAATTTGCATCTCCCTTATTACAAGTGATGTTGAACATTTTTTCATATGCTTGTTGGCCATCTGCATTTCCTCTTTGGAGAAGTGTCTTTTAGCTCGTTTTTTGATGGGGTTGTTTATTTTTGTTGAGTTTCATCAGTTGTTCGGTTATTTTTGTGATCAGCCCTTTATCACTGCTTTTGTGTGAGAAATTTTTTTCCCAATTAGTGGGCTGTCTGTCTGTTTTTTGTAATGTCTCTTTTGCTATACAGAAGCTCTTTAACTTGATGTAGTCCCATTTATTGATCCTTACCTTCACTATTGTGGCATCGGGTGCTCTATCTTTAAAGATGTCACTGAAGTGTATGTTGTGTAATGTTTGGCCCATCTTTGCTTCCAGGTATTTTATGGTTTCTGTTCTTACATTTAAGTCTTTAATCCACTTTGAGTTGATTTTTGTGACTGGAGTGAGGCAGTGATCTAGTTTCATTTTTTTTTACCCATTTTTCCAGCACCATTTGCTGAACAAGCTTTCTTTGTTCTATTGTATCTTCTTTGCTCCTTTGTCAAAAATTAGCTGTCCATAAACTTGTGGGTTTATATCTGGGTTTTCTGTTTGAATCCATTGGTCTATATGTCTATTCTTATTCTAGTACCATGCAGTTTTGATTATTATGGCTTTGTAGTATAGCTTGAAGTTTGCAACCCCAAACTTCTAAGAAAAAAAGATGATTGTGATCTTAGCCCAATTCATATGCTAATGTTACCTCACTGCTTGCTTGAAATTTATAAAATAAACTGCTGACAGCAGAACAGGAAGACTTGCACCCAACTCCTATTCCCCTGTCTTCCTTGCATCTGCTCCCTTTTCCCCCCTTTTTAGGAATCTCTACTCACCGATGCCACTCCCACCTTAAGACGTACCTGTTCTACTCCCCACAATCTGTGATCAGGATGGTCCCCAACAGTAATTGGGTCTAAGTCTTCTCAGGGAGGATATCTGTCTTTTAGAACTAACATACCAAATAGCAAAATTATTTTCTAATTCTTTTATGTTTTGGTTTTATGGTACTGTAACAGGGTGGTCCCTAGGAAAAGGGGAAGTTCCAGGTTCCCTGCCCCACCCAGAAGGAGGGTAGAGCTGAGCAGAGAAAGAGGAAGAAGAGAAGAGAAGAAAAGAAGGAAGCAGGATGGAGAGCCAGAAGACCTGAGGAAGCCAGGTCTTGTGATGAAGCATCCTTTACTGATGACTTAGCTAAGGGTGAGTGACAGGGAAAGCATTTTTTCAAGGCTTTGTATCAGTACTGCCTTTAGAAAAAGTGACAATTTCTTTTTTTTTTTTTAAAGATTTATTTATTGGTACATACAGAATTGGAGTACAGGCCAGAGGCTCAGGGGCAGTGCGAGGCTTCACCAGAGACAGAGTGGGGAACAGAACAGGCAGATCGACCAAGTACACTGCCGAGGGGAGCAGCGGGCGGGTCAGGAGAGGTCTGCCACACCATGTGGTCACTTCCGGGGCAGGCGGGAATCGAACTCATGTGGAAGTGGTTTCAGCTTCTTAGTGCAGTGCTTTAACCCGCTGCGCCACCAGGGAGGGCCAAGAGTGCCAATTTCTATAAGCTCTTAGCAAGGTTAACTTTTTGATATTTGCCATTTTGATAAATTGTACTTCCTTTTTCCCAGAAGCACTTCCTCCACCCCCTACTTTTTCTATCTCATCAATCACATGTCCATCCGCAAATCAGTTGCCATCAAAGGGAATATTTTAGGCCCTGGCAACTGAAGAAGTCAACCTTCCTTAGCATGTTGCCCAAGTAAAATCAGAGTTCCAAAAATGAACATGAAAGAGGAAACAGCTATAGGCAGCCAGCAGTGTATTCCTAAAGTCATGCTGGCAATAGGTGTTCAAAGCCTAAAGTCACACTCCTTCTATTTTAAATTCTGTATCAGGAAAGTATTACTCTCAAGCACAGTGTTTCTCAGACTACACAATAAGAACAGTTTTTTCCCAACTCACAGCTATACAGGTTTTGATGAATTTCAAAGACACTAAGTTTCTGTCAAATTACTGTAGTGTCTAAATACTCTCAATTCCTCTCATTGTCATCCAACGCTGATAATTCACCAGCCATCTGGACTCGTTGCATTTGGAAAGGCACTGTCTAGCCGCAGACTTCATAATTTGGCTGCAGACTCCTCTCCTGCCTCATGCCCCAAGGGTGTTCTCTGTTACCAGAATATGTGATGTGTTTTTGTTTTACTTCTGGACTTCATATTCTGTTCTCCCTTCCTGGAATGCCCTCCCCTAGCTAGGGGCTGTCTAGTCCTCTCTTCAGACCAGCTTAAGCTATTTTTCCTGAATTCCTTGTGCCCCATTGGTATTTCCTTTGACCCCAAGTACAGACTTTATTAGATGACAGTCATTTCTGGGCCAGTCTCCCTCACTATACCAAAAGTTCTTTGAAGGTGATAATTGTCTTATTCATTTTTAGATACCGTGTTCCTGAACCACATGCATTACTTTAATAGATGCTCATTGAAATAAATTGAGTCAATAAATGAGGTGACTTTTGTATACTTAATTCTCCCCCATATATTTTCGGCCGTGCTTTTCCCTGCCTGTGTGTGGATTTCCTTAAAACAACATTTTGACACACAAGTTTTTCTTTTCTGTCAAATTTGAATTATAAAGAAGATCGAGGGCTCTCCCTGGTGGCGCAACGTGTTCAAACACCGCATTATGAAGCTTCAGAAGCCACTGCAGCATGAGTTCCATCCCTGGCCAGGGAGATGACCTACATGGCGCGGCAGACCTCTTCTGACCAGCCCACTGCTCACCTCAGCAGTGTACTTTGTCAATCTGCCTGTTCTGCTCCCCACTCTGTCTCTGGTGAATCCTCTTGTAACAGGGTGGTCCCTAGGAAAAGGGAAAGTTCCAGGTTCCCTGCCCCACCCAGAAGGAGGGTGGAGCTGAGCAGAGAAAAAGAGGGGGAAAGGAGAAGAGAAGGAAGCTGAATGGAGAACAAGGAGACCTGAGCAGCAAGCATGTGATGCAGAAACTGTGTTTGTTTCCTGACCCTGGACCTGTTAAGGCAGATGTGGGTGAGAGACCTGTAGGGTGGTGACTATGGCAGTGTTTATATTGATTTTGATTTTGCTCTTTTCCTCCCAGATTTGTCTGGCCATTTCTGACCCTTTTCCATGGGTCCCGGCCAGAAGGTGCTTTAGTCTTGTGGCGGCTTTCAGGCCTTGCTTTGGACCAATCCCTTTTGGGTTGACTTTTGCCCACGAGGGGATGGGTAACTTCAAGTGTTTGATTTAGAAGTTATATTCTTTGTATTCTGTATTGTATATTCACTGTATTAAAGTCCCTTTTCATTAAAGTTTTATATGTTTTGTCACGGCAGATGGCAGAACCCACTTAGAGCAGGCAGGCTTGGGGCCCCTGTCCCCCTGTCCTGGAACAGATTTGGCGTCAGCCTGTAACACTCTCAACCACCACACCTCTGGCCTGTACCCCAGTTCTGTAAGCATAAATAAATAAATCTTTAAAAGAAAAAAAAAGACGGAACTTTCCTTTGTATTTCCATCGTTGGGTCTACCCTACAGACATCAGTGTTACCAGATAGCATGTGGGGTTCAGGCAGCCCTTATGTGTCCCCAGCAGTATGTACATGTCCCCTGTAGCAACAGATGAGGCTGTGTGGGGATACATAGGAACTCCCAAAAGCACCTAGCAAGGTAGTGTGACACCAATTTACATACAACTTAGAGTCACAGTGACCAAGACATTAGTCCTTACTCATACTAGCTCTGTGACCTTAGAAAAGTTCCTTATTCTCTCTGATCCTGTGTCTTCCATTTAAAGACACCAATGGATGACATAGAAGCCATACCCACTGATGAATGTTACAGATGAGCTCTTGGTTGATACAAAGGCGGAATAGTCCTCTGTCTCTTTAAAAGGATAGGGCCAGCCCATCCCTCAGGCTTCCTGAGTAAGATGACCTGCTTTGAAATTCAATCTCAGGCTGAGCCTTGCTTGTTTGTCTTTGTTTCTGCACTTCTGATTTTGCTCAGCTAGCTGAGACAGCTCTCTGGCAATTCAGTTGCATGACTAAGAAGGATAAGCAGCTGCTGCTTGTAAAGTGTTGAATTGGTTGGGAGGCAGGCAAGTGGCATAAAAGCAGCTTGGAAAGCCCCAAACTCCACTGCTCAAATGATGTCAGGGGTCCAAGCTAGAGGAAGGGTGCGGGGAGGAGGGAGTGCTTTCCTTCTCTAGGCACTCAGGCAGCCACCATTGGATTTCCCCCCAATTTAGAAAGGAAGGAACTGTGCACATGGTTGGTCAGTTGATTTAAATTAAATAGCAAAAACCGTTTTCTTCAACATGCCATATATTTTCATATCACTCTGCCTCTGTGCTATTCTCATCACTAGAAATGGTCTTTTCTTCTATCTACCTGCTTAATTCAACCCCTATTCCTAAAATCAAATGTTAGTTCTTACATCTTACCCCCCTGTACTCCTCCCCCTTTATCTTCTTTCCAGGTTGCCACCTGTCCATAAAAGTAATTCAGTTACTATATGTCACACTCTGAGTTGCCATTGTTTTTATCTTTTATCTTTCCCTTGATCCAATGAAAACTCAGGAATCTGATTCTCTGTATGTCTGGCTAAAATAAAGTAAGCAGTCAATTTAAAAAAAAAATGTTCAATTGAAAACTTCCACTTGACTTATCTGAAAATTTCTAGCAGTATAATGAAAATCACTGTGGATTGAGCATATGAAAAATTGCTGGGTATCCCCTCCTTCTCCCCTCTCACCCCAACCCCTAGAGAGAAAAATAGTAAGTGCTAACCTGTAGCAAGGGAAAAAATCAAGGAGTCTATGGAAGCCAGTGGGGCACTTCTTAGTTCAGTGTTGGCACAGTCCAATTTATTTCTTGGTGACCCAAAGTAGGCGCCTGGTGGATTTAGACATTCCTTGGGTGTCATCATTCTTCTGGGAGCTGAGCAGGGAAAGTGTGGGATTAGGGGTCATGGGTCAAATCAAATCCAGGATTTCACTGCTGCAAGCTATTTGAGTCATAGCAGTAAGTCTAGTGACTAAATAATAATGTAAAGTACCAAATCTAGACCTGGCGATTTTTGGTCTGCCAAAAATCTTTGTGTTAACCATTGTGTTAACCATCAGATGTGTAGAGAAAGTCAGCTTAGAATTCAATAGGCTGTTTTGCATAGCTATAACATGTAATGGATGTCAGATAAATGCCTAGTGCTGTTTACAAAGTGATCTAATAAAGGCCTTCAAGGGGTTTTCCTCACAGGAGTTTTTCTGATAACAGCCCCTTACTTTCCTACTTTGATGTGTCCTACCTCAGGAGAGCCCCAGCCCTCCCCACAGGGAGCTCAGGACTGTGTCCAACCTAGGTGTTACATAGAAAATTCTGTGCTTGCTTATCCTTTGCAAGCCCCCTCCCACATCTTCTCCCTGACTTACTGCAAGTCAGTCTAGCCCCCAGCATGCCCCCTCCTTCCCCCTCCCCAGGTCTTATCCTGCCCTCTGTGGAGGTGCTTTAAGTGCTCTGCCAGCCTGCCTGTGTGCCTGATCTGTTTTTTCTCACTGCCAGTACCTCTTAGATTCCAATTCCAAACATGGTATCCATCTGGGGTCACCCTTTCTTCCGGTGCCAAGAGAGACACATTCCAAATGGAACACAAGTGTGCCTCCCAAGCTGGACTCTCTCATTCTGTTTAGGGACAACAGAAGGCAGGATGTGGTTACTTTATCCCTCGCAGCTGAAGTTTTCAGTTCCATGGCCCGTTTTCCTTGGGACGATTTAGTTTTCTTTTTAAGAGGCAATTTGAAGGCTGTGAAGAAACCTGCAGCCAAGGAACTTTGCCAGACCTCACCAGGGAGGGGGGTCAAAGCCCTGCTGAGGGAAAGGGAGAGGAGAAAAAGTCTTGAGATTCTCCATGAGGTGTACTATGTTCTGTCATTCACTCCCAAAGCAACGGGAAGCTTTCCTCCCAGCAAAAGTGGAGTCACTGGGGAGAAACTGGAGGTGAGAAGACACCCCGGAGGACGGGTTCATTCTTTCTCTGAGTTTCCTGTGTGGGAACAGCATTAGTGCTGGCAAGACTGAGAAGCCCCGAAGATGAGCACCAACAGCAGCAGCACCGTTTTGCCGCACCTCTGGCAGGGGCCAGTGTGCATTGGCTGGAAACAAGATATAGAAGGAGCTGTCTACCACCTGGCCAACTGCTTCTTGCTCCTGGGCTTCATGGGGGGCAGTGGGGTGTATGGATGCTTCTACCTCTTTGGCTTTCTGGGCACAGGCTACCTGTGCTGTGTGCTGTGGGGCTGGTTAGATGCCTGTGGCCTGGACATCGTCCTCTGGAGTTTCCTGCTGGCAACAGCCTGCCTGCTCCAGTTAGCATACCTGGTATACCGCCTGCGGGAGGACACCCTCCCTGAGGAGTTCGAGCTCCTCTACAAGACATTGTGCCTACCCCTGGAGGTGCCCCTGCAGGTGTACAAGGAGATTATTCACTGTTGCAAGGAGCAGGTATTGACTCTGGCCACCGAACAGACCTATGCTGTGGAGGGCGAGACGCCCATCAATCGCCTGTCCCTGCTGCTCTCTGGCCGGTAAGCCGCTCTGTCACTGCCAGATGTCTCCCTCAGCCCAAACTTCTCTTTTCCTAGCTTGTTCTTTTCCATTTTGTGGTGCGTTCCTTTGAGAGGAGGATGTGACAAATCAGACCAAAATAGGTTTTCTAAGCTTGGGCTCGCTTCCTCTTTCTAAGTCTTGTCATGACTTAGCTGCCGCAACATCTCTGTAAGCTTTGGAAAACTGAATATTTTTATAAGATTAATCCATTCTTTCCCATATGCATTTAACATTTGCTAAGTGTCAACTATGTGCAGGGAACAGTACCAAAACTGGGTTTCCAAGAACCCCTGTTCCCTGCCAGAGAATCAAGGAAACAGCCCTAATTGTGTTGGCAATATCCTGTACAGACTTCATGGTAAAGCAATTCTAACAAGCAACCTGTCCGTCTTTCCATCCCCAGTATTCTACTGACATTCTTACAGAACTGTCGATCTGAGGCCAGACAGTAAAGGAAGGTAGGGATATCCCACATGTCTCGCTGAGGATTTGGTAAAGAGGCCTGGTTTCCTCCTTGTGAGAAGGCTGATTGTCAGACACTAGCAGAAATGGTCTAAGTTAGGACCCCTGATGCCAGACAGCCTGCACTTGAGTATAGTCTGTTGGTCGCTGTCTTCTGCACAAGAAGTGCTGCGATGTGCTGTGTAGGGGATTGTGGATGCTTTGAAATATGGGACTTGCATGTGAGGCTGACCATCCAATAATAAACAACTTAATCTGGTCTACTTGGGCTGGCTCTGCCAAAAGCATGTATTTCAAAAGTGTCGTCTTCAATTTCCTTCCCTGCTGTCTTTATTTAGACCATGGTAGAAAAGATAGGGTGGGAGTCAAAACACTCTGATTGGAAAGGGGAAAAAAACAAGGAAACCAGATAAGACTGCCAGCCACAGAGTAAGAAAAAAAGAGATTGGTGATGATTATGATGATGTTACCATAACAACTATTAACAGCAATGCATTTATATATTAATGCTTAGAATTCACAGTGTATCTGGATATGTTTGCATTTTGTTTGGACTCAGAAGTCAGGTTTTCTCAGCAGATATTTCATTGTAAACAAATGCAATGATTTGTAATCATGTACATACATGTGTAAACACAAACACACTGTAACTATGGCCAAGCCATTTGCCACCTATAGCCCTTGCTCAAAATAAAAACAATACAGGAACCTTGCTTATTCATGCCATCTATGCAGTTAATTGCTCCTCTGTTTAAAGGAGGAAATTGGGACTGCCGGGGAAAATACCTACTTCACCAGTGTGCTCATTTCCTGGAAGTATATTATACTTGCTGTGAACTTGTATAAAATCACTTTCTGTGAAGAGGAGAGGGGGATTAGTACCCCTGGTGTGATGTTTCCTAGTATATTTAGTATCAAACCTGATCTGATTAAATTCTGATTTTTTTTCTTGACTTTCAAGGTTTGTAGTAAAAGTTTTGCTATTTTCAATATTATCCTGTCTCAACTTTTCTAAATTGGTGGGAAAGGAGGCTTCTAGCTAATGACCAAGTACCAGTATTTTTTAAAGATTTACTCATTTATTCATATAGAACTGGGGTACAGGCCAGAGGTGCAGGGGCGGTGAAGGATTCACCAGAGAGAGTGGGAACAGAACAAGCAGATGGACAAAGTACACTGCCAAGGGGAGCAGCAGGCCGGGGTCACCTGGCCCCCCCCAATAGAACTCATGCTGAAGTGGCTTTAGCTTCTTAGTAATGTGCTTTAACCCATTGCGCCAAGTTCCAGTTTTAAAGGAAAATCAATGTATCTCTGATTTGTTATAGTGAGGTACCAAACCCAAGAACAACATGAAGTGCCAGGATGTGAGGGCTCCCATGAAGCTCTTTGTTAAAACTGCAGAAGCCTTTTTTGTTTTATTTTAATAAAACATTAAATCAAAAAAGTTACAAAGGCAATGTGACTTCCTCAAAGACTGTCATCCCGTTAAGCTGGCCGGTGGCATAGCTTCTCTCTTCCGTATAAAAGGTTCTCTCTGGTGGCGCAGGGGTTAAAAAGTCGCAGTGCTATCAAGCTTTCACCAGCCACTGTAGCCTGAGTCTGATCCCTTGAGAGGTGCAGCAGACCTCTCCTGCCTTGCCCCTGCTCCCCTCAGCAGTGTATTTCAGTTGACATGTTCTGCTCCCCACTCCATCTCTGGTGAACCCCTCTACCCCCGCCAACCTCTGGCCTGCACCCTTATTCTTGTGTGCATAAGTAAATAAATAATAAAATGCTCTTATATGAAGTTCTAATCACCAGTTCTCCTGAGCCAGTAACTGTCTGAGCAATTTGTGTCCTGTCATCCAGGAGATCAAGAAGGAAGAGGCTGGAATGGAAAGGACAATATACATGCCCTTCAATGGCTTCACAGACCCATACAGTCTCATGAGATGTTACTCAGACTCTACAATGGATAAAGCCTACTGAATCTTCATCATTTCCCTTTTTTTAATACATAGGTTAGACTTGAAGATGATTTGGGCAGCCATTTCCCTTTGCCCACACGGTCTCTTCTCTCCCTTTGCCAGGGTTCGTGTGAGCCAGGATGGGCAGTTTCTACACTACATCTTTCCTTACCAGTTCATGGACTCTCCTGAGTGGGAATCACTGCAGCCCTCAGAGGAAGGGGTGTTCCAGGTAACAGGGAGCACTGTGACCCAGCAATGACCCTTCCTCCACCTCCTCCCTCTCACACCTGCCCTTTGAACCACTGCCCATAGGCATCTCCTGTGGAAAGGGTTTGGTCTCCAGCAGAAGTGGGGTGGGGTACAGAGGTGTGACCCCGGATATAAGGGCCATGTCACTCCTCTGCCCAAAACTTACCAGAGCCTTTCAAAGACCATGTGATCAAAACTCACACCCCTTAGAGAGTAACTTTGGGCCTTTGCAATGTGCAGACTCATCTCTAGACCTTCCCTCCTTCACTGTTTTGGCCCACACCCGCCAGGCTGAACTATTCATTCTTCATGAACACACTACATTATTTGTAGCACCAGGCCTTGCCCCTCTGTCTCTGCTTTCTGAAATGTATGTCCCGTCTGGATGAGGCTATGTTGTCTCACTTCCTCTGCCAAGATTGACCTCACCAGCTCCTGCCCAGAGAGCTTATTGTTCGTGCCTGCATGTCTGTTTAATTCCTTTTGTCGACACAGACTGGTGCATATATTGCTCTCTGTTCAATCATCTGGTTTCCCCTCTTTTTTGCATGCAGTGAGCTCTTTGAGTTAGAAAACTGGGCTTCTTTTTTTCTCTATCCCCAACTTCCAAAGGACAATTCCTTGAACGCAGTAGGTATTTGATAAAAGGTTTTCTGAACTGGCTTGTCTGTGGGCAGCTGGTGTCTCAGAAGACCCCCAGGGGCACTCACATCTACATTCCAATGTGAAGCCTGGCTGCTGTCTCCTGCTCTCTTCTGTGCCATCATCAGTCTTCCTTCCCTTCTTTGTAGTGCTCATGAATCTGATGGCTATTACATGGCAGGCACTATGTATTATATGCCTACTGATTCCCATGACAGCCCAGGATATTTTATATTGACATATTTTATATAAATATTTATTTACATTTTTTTGAGGGGGGGATTGAATATTTTTACTACCACACTTAACAAATGAGGAAACTAAGGCTCAAAAACATCAAATAATTTGGCTAAGGTCTTCATCTAAAAGATGGCAAAGCCAAACTGCCTAGTTCTGCTGTTTCTCTCTCTTTTTTTTTTAAATGAGAGGTTTCACCAAGAAACTGGCGTTAACACACACACACACACACACACACACTCACTCACTCACTCACTCTTATAGGGACTCCCCTCTCCAGATGGTTTGCCAGTACCGAGCTCCATGCGTCTCCTACCACTTCTATCAGGGAGTCCCTCGGGCTGGCATATGAGCCAACCCCAGAATAGACACATACCAGGCAGTGCCTCCTGGCTGGGCCTACTTCCGCCCCACCCTGAATCTCAGCTCTGTGCAACAATCCTGATTCCAACCAGGGCTGCCAGACACAGGCCCCCTTCAGCAATGTGATGATGTTACACACACAGATTTACACTGACACACACACACATATCCCCTCATCCCCTCAAGAGGCCCAGAAAGTCTCCATTGAGAACTCCCCCAAGGCCGTAAGAACCTCCAGGAAGGCTGAGTCAGGTCATGGGCCTGCCAGAACAGGTTCTGTTTCTGACACTGATGCTTACAAACAGCTGGTGGATACACTGGGTGTCCTCCCCTTAGTTATGCTTGAAAGGAAGGACTCTAACCTCAGATGGCCTCTCAGTCTGGAATGGTGGTACCAACAGATTCTTCCTATTTTTGTTTTTAGTGTGCACCTCTCTTAGATTGGTGAGATCCACATGTTTGCTATTGACTATATAAAGTTACATTTCCTCTTTGAAAATATCAGGTGTTATCCAGACTTACAGTTTATCCTGACCTTTCTTTTTGTAAGTGCATAGACTTTGTGGGTTGCCTGAATCATAATGCTTACTGTGTTTAACACAAATGAGTCAATATTCTATCTTATCTCTCAACAAGTAGTTAGGTAGGAACAGATTGATTGTTCATCTCTGTGACCCTTCATTAATCACTAAGAACATAGGAGTATGGGGTCTTATCAAAATCACCATTATTTCTCCTGTATATATTGTGTTTTGCTGGAACCACAACCTCTTTACAAATGTCCTCTCATTTAACCTATTCAACTAGTTTCTGAGGTGATAATTAAAGAAAATGTTTATTATATCTTTATCATAATTGCAATGGGCCTTCTCTGGGGCCAGTGAGCCCCCACATAACTCTCAGAGTGGGGAAGACACTGGAGGTGGAGATGGGTGCTGTCATTTACCTGGAAACTGTCCATGGCAGCTGGGGGTGTCAGGGCCACAGTTGAGACCCCACCTTGGACTCCGGGAAGGGTGGTATGGGGAGTACAAGGCAATGCCTTCACAAAGGAACTTGCAAAGAGCTGGCAAAACTACAAATGCATTTACCCTTTGAGCCACCAATTCTCCCTCTAGGAGTTTGCTCTAAGCATACAGGTCTACAAGTACAAAATCACAAAGGAATAAACTTTTCTCATTATGCTGTTATTTATAATGGCCAAACATTGGGGACAACTTCACACTCATCCATGAGAAAAAAATCTTTGTCACAGATGTGTGTGTGTGTGTGTGTGTGTGTGTGTGTAACCAGAAAATAACAGGTTTCCTGAAGACCTTTAGGGAAGATCTTAAGAACATAAGAAAGTGACATTAGTTTGTTTTGAAACAGTCATTCATTTACTTTAGTAGTATTTATCAAACACCTATTACAATCTGGCACTAGTACAGGTGCTTGGAATATATCTGTCAACAAAACAGGAAAAGGTTCTGTCTTTGTGCGTTTATAGTCCAATAGAGGAGACAAAAAAAAAATAGCCCTTAGACACAATGAATAAGCAGGTGATATAATATGTTAAAAGATTTTTATCTTTTACTAAAAATTATTTTAAAATCTAGCAAATGGCAAAATGCAACATAAATAATTCTTAGACTCTGAAAATTACAGAGGTTACCAGTGAGGGGAGGAAGGAAGAGAGCAGAGAGGAGGTGAGGTGATGATGTATTTGTCGGAGACCAGCTCCAACTATTGAGGTGTCTGGAGGCAAGACAGGCAGGACCGTAAGGTGGGAAGGCATTGGCGAGTGGAGATTCCTAAAAAAAGGGGAGAAGAAGAAAAAAGGGAAAAGGGGGGCGAGGAAGACATGGGAGTCAAGAGTTGGGTACAAGTCTTCCTGCTCTGCCTTCAGCAGAGGTTTATTTTTATAAATTAGGAGTAAGTAGTGGGATGATATCAGCACAGGAACTGGGCTGAGAGATTACATGTATTGGATTGGAGTTTTGGTGGAAGGTAAGCACATGTGCAGGTTGAGGTGTGGAATTGGACTCCTAGACATATATTCTTTTAAGCAAATGACAAGTCAGTAAAATTTTGATAGAGAAAAAGCGGCTAGAAAAAAAATTGCAATTTTAAATAGGTGGTTATAGATGACTTTGTTGAGTATGTGACATTTGAACCAGATCTAGGGAGGTGACATTGAAACCTGTGAATATCTGCGGGACTGTCATACTAGACAGAGGGAAGATCCAGAGCAAAGGCCCAGTGGAGGGAGGGGGTAGCATGTGGGAGCTACTAAAAGGAGGCCAAAGCTGTTACAATAGAGAGAGGGAGTAAAGAGAATAGCTGTAAAGGCCCCATGCTATGTAGGCCTCTGAAATACAGGCGATGTAGACTGATAACCACAGGCTGGCCTGTTAGTCATGGACAGATTGTGAGGACTTCTTGCAGAATTCCTTCTCATGAGGCAACAAGCTTGGAGAGATTATGTAATTTGTCTACTGTCCCAGCTGGTAAAGGCACAAACAGGAACTTGAAACCTCCTTCTGGTCATGGTGAGGTAGTTCTGGGCCTTGACTTTAGTGCTGATTGTTATGAGAGAAGAAGCTGAGTGGAGGAAGTAAATTACAAAGATGGTAAAGGGGTACTACAGAGGAGAAAGGGGAGGAGAGATAGTGGGGGATGGGCAGGACTTAAAGGGATTATATGAAATCTCCAAGAATGTTTGAAATGTTGGCCATAACTTTGGTTGAATAAGCCACACAAAGAATTTAACACAATGCCAGGCACATACCCGGCTCTCAGAAATTGTTAGCTGCTATGGTCATCATTGACTTACTCTACCCACAAATCTACCTTGTGAACTCAGCCAGTCTTCTCACTTTTAAAGTATTATAGCCAAGGAGATCATTAAAGATTGTATGGCCACTACCCCTTTTAGTAGGCTGAGCACTGTTTAGTTTAACCCCAGCCAGTCCACACATCAGTGTTTGTTTTTTTAAGATTTTATTTATTTATTCATACAGAATTGGGGTACAAGCCAGAGGTTCAGAGAGGTGAGAGGATTCACCAGAGACAGAGTGGGGAGCAGAACAGGATGATTGACTGAGTACACTACCAAGGGGAGCAGCAGGCTGGTCAGGAGAGGTCTGCCACACCACATGGGTCACCTCCACCTCCGGGGCAGGGATTGAACTTGCACTGGAGAAGCCTGCGGCTCGCTTACATGCCCACCATCAGGGAGGGCCATGCATCATTGTTTTAACAAGAATTATCAAGCACTGACTAATGTGCTAGGTACGTTATTTACCAGCAATGTAACTTAACTTTGTACCATGGCACATAGTGTGTGCTCAGAAATTCTTTGAAGAATTTGGCACACTTCAACTTGAGCTCTGAAGAACTCCTCTTCCCCGTACCTGTTTTTGGACTTTAATCATCAGATCCGATTGATAACTTGTAGAGGCCAAGTCAAGGGCAAGTTTATGGACCTGAATCTCAGCCAGTGTTTTGTCCACTGTTTTGACATAGCTTGGCATTTGATATTCCAAATGCTCTGCTCCAGTGGAAACTCTTTCTATTGCCTTTTTCAATCCCTACCCCAGTATATTGTTTTTTTTTTTAATCGATAAAATAAACTGTCATCAACATCTTTGGGCCCTGAAAGGCTTCATCTTTCTTGGAATCGCAGTAGACTCAGAATCCTCTGCAGTCTCTGGGATACCAGCTGTGGGACATAGAATATGAAAGCTAAGGAGACTGAATGGGAAACTAAGGCTCCAGGAGGTGCAGTTTTCATGAGTGAATGACTGAATCTAAGGGTCTGGATAGCCCCTCACAATGCACCCCCCCAGCTCCCATATCATTAACACAAATGAAAGTCATTCCCTGGGCCTCCCCAGACAAGGCCATGGAGAGGAACTCCCCCAGTTTCTTCAATGCATGTGCAAATGTCCACCAAGTATCTGTGTTTCTCTGTGCTGCTTGGGGGCACGTTTTCTAGTTTTAAACCTTCACTCTCTCCTCCTCACCTTTCTCAGGTCACCCTGACTGCAGAGACTGAATGTAGCTACATTTCCTGGCCCCGGAAAAGTCTCCACCTTCTTCTGACCAAAGAGCAATACATCTCCCGCCTTTTCTCTGCCCTCCTTGGCTATGACATCTCCGAGAAACTCTATGCACTCAACGAGAAGCTCTTCTCTAAGTTTGGACTGTGCTTTGACATCCGTCTTCCCAGCCTCTATCATGTCCTGGGTCCTGCTGCCCCAGATGAGGAGCCAGAGTATGAGAAGGAAGATGAGGAAGTCTTTGAGCCAGCAAAGCCCCCTCCTCAGGCCACACCCACATTTATCCAGCCAGAAACCCCTTACTCTCCTCCCCCAGGGGCCACTGACCCTCCTCTGCCTCCCTCCAGGCCCCGGATCCCCAGGCCTGACAGCATCCTGGGTGAGGACTGCACCAGTCTGGTGCTGGAGGACTTTGAGGAGGTGTCAGGTTCAGAATCATTCATGGACTATAGAAGTGATGGGGAATACATGAGGTGAGGCGAGAACTGATGGGGGGGCACAGCCACCGGCCTTAGGATCCTGTGTAAGTATCAGAAGCAGCTGCCACACCTCCCTGCCGACAGCTGGCCTACCTTGATTTGAAAGAACAAAAAACAAGCAAAAGCTGCCTTCTCAGGGGACTTCCAGAAGTGTCATTAACTTATCCTCACCCCAGGTGCACAAAGGAATGAGGGGAATTTGAACGCATTGTTTATTGGTAATTATTAAATGTAATGCATTTTGGAAAATGGGCAGGTTGCCACTTTGAGTAGGCAGGTCACTTGTTCAATTTTAGGCAAGGTTTTGCTAACAGCCAAGGCCACAGCTAGAGCTAAAGGGATTCTATTTGTGGCATGCATTTGAAAAGGAATGAAATGCTGGCATGGTTCTAATTCTTACTTTCGTGGCCCAAAGACACACTGAAAAATTGCCATTACGAAGCCTAAATTGGGCCATATCTCTATTAAAATTGCCTGTTCTTAAATGACTTGTGACTACAGGCTATGTGCCGCGGAGTGTCACTGTGACTGGATGGGCACACAGCAGCTGGCTCTCCCACAAACCACACCTGTGGAGATGGAGAGGGCGTGCGTCTGGAAGGGCCTACAGATACATGCACGATTTACCTCAACCTCATGCAAGTGCACAAGAGAAGCTGTACTGACGTACTGAGTGGTTCTGGGAAGTTGCTTTCATGTTCCTCCTGCCTGCCTTTATGATGTTGTGACATTTTCCTCAGGCACTTTGCCCAACCATTGTGTAGGCCTGACTTTGCTTGAAGAAAATCCCACTCTCTGATTTGGGAAGCACTTCCAGCTAAGAGACCCATCATGATTTGGGCAGCATTGACACATTCCCTGAGAAAGGAAGTCCAGGGCAGGGAGGCCTCCAGTAGTCACAAGGTGAATAAGTGAATGTTCGTCTATTTTGAAAAAGAAGTTACATAAACAAACAAAGCAAAAGAGATTGACAAAATGAGATTAGGTATTTATTTGTATAGCTATGGAATTTTTAAACTTTTGTGGCACCAATGTCCTTAGAACCACAGATGAGCTGATTCTGAGCTAATTTCAAGGACCTATTGGCAACCAAGCTCATACTTCTGCACAGCCCCCTGTGACTGTGCAGACATTCACCTTCTGGATCATTCATCCCTCCAAGCAAAGTTATGTTTCATGGATCCTTGTCCTTGTCCAGCGTGACCACCCACCTGAACTCACAGCAGTGCCCGATGTGTTCATGTTCATCCTGGATCTATTTGTTCTCTTTCTTTCTCTTTCTGACCCTTCCAGTCCTTGGTTGCCACAGCTTGTTGTTTTTAAGAACAGAATCCTGTCCCTGCCCCCAATTAATTTTCCCTCCATTTGTCCTCTGTGACTTTCCCATTTTCTTGTTCACATGTTTATTTATCTCTTTATTACCACCCCCCCTTCCTACCTTGTTGCAACTGTTCTTCCTCCTCAACTACCCTGTACTCCCACCTTAGTTTTTTAATGCATTTTCTTCCAAGATCAATAACTTTCCCTCTATAAAGGCAATCATTCAAGTGAAGGCATGGGAATCACCAAATTTAGGTGACTACCCATTTCATACATGAATTTCCCCACATATTCAGAAGCAGGTAGCATGGCAAGCTAGAAGAGACAATACTAGTTTTTATGTCTGCCTCTGCTGCTAAACAGGATGTGACTTTTTTTTTGCCAACTCACTTTCTTCATATGACTGTGTTGGATGGTTTGGTGAGAAGGCACAGATGAGTTCTATTCAGAGGAGTGTCAGCCACAGCAGTGTTCACCCCAGCTCCAGGAAGCAGGTGTGTCTCAGATGCGTTTTACCTGATTGCACCAGCAACTTAGGACTGGGTCCTGCTTGCCTAGAAGTGCCCTCCATTGACAGACTCCCTTGAGGACTCTGTCACCTACCCTGTGATCACAGGGCTGATAGTCTGTAAAAGGGGGTCACAACTCAGTCTCCAAGATCCTCCATCCTTTATACGGTTGTGGGAACTACTGCTTTTCTAATCAGCGTTTTCTGAAGCTCAAGATGAGAAAACACATAAATTAACTGACTTTCTAACATACAACACAAAAAGAGTAGGTTTTTAAATTTGGTTAATAGAAAGGAGAAGCTGTTGTTTACTTCCATGTTTTAGAACAACTTGAAAACATGATCAAATGGGCCAAATTTCAGGTGACTTTAATTTAATTTGTGCTGATGTCATAGTTTCAACCCAAGAAGCTATATTAGTGTCCACTTTTCTGGAAATGTGTGTTTGGTTTGACTTGTTTACCATCAAGCTCCTTCTAAGGTTATTGCTGTAATGATAAGCACCATCCTTTGTGATTGGCTGGAATTTGCTACTGTTTCCTATAGAAAGTAAAACACAATTCACCATCTAGTCCCTGCCTCTTCAGTTACCAAAGGTCCAGCTCATTGCTGTTCATCTGGCACTTACATAAGGGGCACATGGACCACTGTTTTCTGCATCGTGGAGAATGACACAGCTTCATCGCACTGTCACCAGCACTTGGCCTTCACACCAATCCAACTTAGGACCAACTAAAAATAGCCAGTGCTTTCCCTGGAGCTGTTATTTGAAGGGAGCACAGACTTTAGTTTGGATGTGCCCATAGCTGAACTGCATATAGCGCTATTCCCATTACCCTGGGCAAGCAACACCCCTGAATAATGTATTCACACAAGGTCTCAAGCTGGAGCTCCTTAACCTTGCCTTCACATGAAAATTTTCCATTTCATTCTGTAAGTCCTCTCCACAAAGTTCCATTTGGTTTCTTACTCACAGGAGATGCTCAATTGCACACATCTCTGAAGAGGTCAGTTGAATCAAATAATGAATATCCATTATTAGAAATTAATTGAAAATTTTCTAAAATTTGGTCAGATGTGATTATATTTTCAAGTTCTGAAAACTCTGTGGTCTGAAAGTAAAAAATAGATATTGTTTCCTTTCTCCCTGCTATTTATGAAACAAACAAATGAGAAACATGAAAATATGGTGGCTAATTGTGGTCAGGGAAGGAGCCTGGAACCAGGCAAGTACACATGCTAGAGAACCAATTTTACCTTGACCCAGTAGATACAGTATATTTCAGGAACTTTTTCAGGTAATTGCACCATGAATAATTATGAGTAAAAATCTAAAAGAACAAAGAGATTTAAATCTAAGATACGGGCCAGGCAAAAATGAAGAACGATGCAAAATATGTATATATATTTTTTTAATTATTTAAAAAAAAAGAGAGAGAGAGAAATGGGCCAGGTAATACCTTCAACTTTCACAAAGAAGGGAAATAAGAATTTGCCTTAATTTGGTGTAGTTCTTGAGAAAAGAAATTAAAGGCTGAAAGTTCCAAGTTTCCTTTCTGTCTCTTCTTTCTTCTCTCTACTCCCTCCCTCCCTTCCCTCTTTCCTTCCTCTCTCTCTCTCTCTCTCTCTCTTCCTCTCTCTCTCTATATATAGCCCCCCTACTATGGCTTTCCAGGGAAGGTGGCAACTGGCAGAATCCCCTAACAACACAAGGATGAAGGCCCAAAGAAAACATACCCAGCTCTACAGCCTCTGAATAAGCAAGAGTTGATCTTATCCAGTTCCCTTTATTTGACCAGGAAACAGATACCCACCACACACTATAACCAGGCTCTCTTCCTTTCAAGTGGCTGTAAAGTGTTTAGGTGGTGTTGATGTGATAGTTTCTCACAGAACCACTGAAAAGACTTGTGGGCCAGAAAAACTGCTCCTGGAAGTGGCTCGGCAGGAGCCTGGGAGTCTCAGGTTCTGGGTCTCTCTATCAGCCAAGGTTCAATGTTGTCTCAGGAAAGTGAGAGGCAGCAACTTCCCCTGCAACCTGTGCTCCCTGCAATCCTTCCACCCGTGTTTTACAGGCCCCATTAATTCATCCTTATCTGTGTACAAAAAAAAGACGGGACTCTTATAAAACTTACCATTTTTCTATACACAACTTTTTAAAGAACTCATTTCATAGTGTTAGATAGACAATAGGGTTCTATAAATTCTTCACAGAAAGCGAGAAATGTTGATCTGGTCTCCTCACCTATAAAATGGCAGGTCTGAATAAGAGAACTTCAATTCTACTCTGACTGATTCTAGTAGTCCAGGATGAAATGACTCAAAAATACAACTTCTCCAAACATATCAGGCCTTGAATACATCTGAACATTTGGAATTGTTTGTCCTTTAAAAAAAAAATGAAAGAAACCCTGTGGCATTGGGCAAGCCATTGAAGCCAGGAGTGCTGAAATCCTTCCTTTTTTTCTTTCTACAGCTTCAAACACTCCGCTCCAGCTACCTTAAGTCCAGGGGACAGGCCCCTTGGCTCTCACCTGCACTCCCAAACTTTAAGGATCAAAGGATGGTTCTTTCTGTGGCCAAGTTGATCTTCACAGGAAGGTCCCCTGTAAGCACACCCTTCTCTGCGGTGCTTGGAAACTCACCCGCGAGACCCTGCACAAGTGGCTACACTCAGGTGACTTCTCAAAGTCATCATCACCAGGAGAATGCACCCAAAAGTCCAGAAGCATGGCACCTAGTAAGCACTCAATAAATCATTAAGTGCCCTTCCCGAGGCTGTTTGCTTGAACTGTCTGAAAGGATTGAGGATGTCAGCTCTCCAAGAAGTTTTCACTGCTATTGTTTTTCACTTTTTACTGTTAAGATTTATAGAAGTAGAAATATTATACTCTAGCTCTTCCTTAGTTTCTATCAATTTTAGATCTTACAGAGCTCTTGTTCTACTTATGACCCCAGCATTAAACAGTAGCTTTTAGAGGGATCTTTACAAATGTAACTACATTTCTTTAAGCATTTTAAAGTGGATTTGTAATTTTATATGTTCTTTTTATCTTTACCCATGTACTTCAACATACATTCCAGTTATCTGTTGCTATGTAACATTCATCCCTAAGACAGTGATTTAAAAGCACCACAAAAATTAATTTTTCTCATGATTGTGCACCTTCTCTGTACTCAGTGAAGATTTCTCTCTCAAGTTTTCTCATATTGAATTCAGATTG